CATGGAAGTTACCGCCGTGAGATCATGACGTGAGTCAAAATCAAGAGTCGGATACTTAACCGACAGAGCCACCCAGGCACCCTTCTCTTGATAATTTATTACAGAGCGTCTCAGCCAAGAAGCACTCAGAAGGAGAGAGGGAAAATTATTTTTCTTCCTCTACAATGGTTAGGAGTCTTTACTGGCTCAGGGTTATAAGGCACAACAGTCCGCTGGCTTGGGGTTCAGTGCTCCTGGGAGGGGTATAGGCCTTGGTTCCAACCATATCTACATCTATGCCTCTGCTGGTTTCTTCTTGTTCACGCTCCATCACATTTCTTCTCTGGGTCACCCATTCACTCATGTGCCTTAAAGATCTCAAGTAGCAGTTGGTACTATCTTCAACAATAAATAGCCTTACCGGGGCACCTGGGTGGCTGAACTGGTAAAGCGTCTGACTTTAGCTCAGGTCATGATCTCATGGTGAGTTAGAGCCCCGCACTGGGCTCTGTGTTGACAGCTCAGAGCCTGGAGGCTGCTTCAGATTTGTGTCTCCCTCTCTCTCAGCCCCTCCCCTCCCCATGCTCTCTCTCAAAAACAAACATTGAAAAAAAATTAAAAACAAAAAACAATAGCCTTACCATGTGGGCCAAGGGAGAGAAAACATGCACTGCTTTCCTCGACGGTACTGGCATGATACAAAGGTAATATTAATAAAGACTCAAGCATAATGCTCAGTCTCGGAATAAGACAAACTCCCTTCAGAAATACTATGAAACGTTAGCTTTTGCCTCTAAACATTTTTCCTTAACTCTGGCTCCTTCTACACATTTCCACTAAAAATCTTTCCTGGAGCACAGAGGAGGAAGCTTAATCTACCTCCCACCGTCGCTGGATCCTGTTCCTCACGTACTGTAACTGCAGGGAAGATGAGGTTTCTTCACAAGATGGGCCCTACACAAGATGCATGTTTATTTGATTCCTTTTAGGTATGCAGGTCTGTGTTAAGGTTAACGCATTACAAAAATGTACACATCCACAAACTGTTAAGATAGCGAGCATTTTGACAGAGCATTTCCTCTTTTTTTTTTCTCATTAAACTTTTGTTTTAATGGGTCTCAAAATTCTGTGACAGATTTTTTGGTTAAGTTGTTTCCATTAAAAAGTACTGATTTTAAAAACTAATAACTCAAAACTGCCACACACACACACACACACACACAGCAAATGGTCCACAAAACGTTCTCCTTTCCTTCTGAAGGTTTTATGGTGCATTGTTATCATTACCCAGTCTTTTACTATTAAACTTAAATGGCCAATTGGCACAACAGTTCTGAGACTGTTCTCCTACCACTTATTAAGACTGGGGTGGCAGGGATTGGGGACAATAATCATTTAGCCTTCTGAGCTTTCTGGGCAGGCTTGGTGACCTTGCCAGCTCCAGCTGCCTTCTGTCCACTGCTTTGATGACACCCATAGCAACCATCTGTCTCACATCACGAACAGCATAACGGTCCAGAGGAGGAGAGTCAGAGACGTTCCCAACACACATGGGCTTGCCAGGAACCATATCAACGATGGTAGCATCACCAGATTTCAAGAACTTGGGACCACCTTCCAGCTTTTTTCCAGAATGATGATCAATCTTCTCATTCCGCTCAGTGAACTTACAGGCGATATGAGCTGTGTGACGGTCCAGCACAGGTATATAACCGGTACTGATTTGGCCCGGATGGTTCAGATTATCGCCTGAGCCGTGAAGCCAGCTGCTTCCATTGTGGGTCATTTTTTGCTATCACCAGCCACATGGACATCTTTGACAGATAGGTTCTTGACATTGAAGCCCATGTTGTCCCCAGGAAGAGCCTCACTCAGAGCTTCCTGGTACATTTCAACAGACTTTACTTTAGTTGTAACATTGACTGGAGCAAAAGTGACCACCATGCCTGGTTTAAGAACACCGGTCTCCACTCGACCCACAGGGACAGCACCAATGCCACCAATTTTGTAGACATCCTGGAAGGGCAGACTCGAGGGCTTGTCAGTTGGACGAGTTGGTGGCAGAATGCAACCCAGAGCTTCAAGCAGTGTGGTTCCACTGGCATTGCCATCTTTACGGGTGACTTTCCATCTCTTGAACCAGGGCGTGTTAGCACTTGTCTCCAGCATGTTGTCACCTTTCCAACCAGAAATTGGCACAAACACCACTGTGTCGGGGTTGTAGCCAATTTGCTTACTGTAGGTGCTGACTTCCTTAACGATTTTCTCGTATCTCTTCTGGCTGTAGGGTGGCTCAGTGGAATCCAACAAGTTGTTTTACACGCAGTGTGTAAGCCACAAGGGCATGCTCACGGGTCTGCCCATTCTTGGAGATACCTGCTTCAAATTCGTCAACATCAGCAACGATCAGCTCAGCACAGTCGGCCTGGGATGGGCCTGTAATCGTATTTTTGATAAAGTCTCTGTGTCCTGGGGCATCAATGGTAGTCACACAGGACTTGCTTTCCACAGGGAGATAGCAATTGATGATACCACGTTCACATTCGGCTTTCAGTTTATCTGAGACCCAGGCATACTTGAAGGAGCCCTTTCCCATCTCAGCAGACTCCTCAAATTTTTTTGGTAGTTCTTTTGTCGATCCCACTAGATTTGTAGATCAGATGACCAGTAGTGTAGACTTGCTCTCTTTGCTAAAAATATGTACAGCTAGACATAATCACTAAAGTGGCAGATTCTACTTTTGAAAATTTGAACTTTCTGGGGTGCCTGGATGGCTCAGTCAGTTAAATGTCTCTTAATTTTGGCTTGGGTCGTGATTGCATGGTCTGTGGGACTGAGCCCCACGTTGGGCTCTGCAGCGACAGCACACAGAGATTGCTTGGGATTCTCTCTCTCCTCTCTCTGCCCCCCTCTGATCTCTTTCAAAAGATTAAAAAAAAGTTTAAAAATTTGTAATTTCCAAATTCTATTGATCTCACACTAAACTTAAAGTTCATTTTTGTTAAATGAGCTTAAGTTACACTGAGAAATATTTTGAAATCCCTATGAAAAATAAAGCCTGTTGAATGATTAAACAGAATCCCAAGGGGCGCCTGGGTGGCGCAGTCGGTTAAGCGTCCGACTTCAGCCAGGTCACGATCTCACTGTCCGTGAGTTCGAGCCCCGCGTCGGGCTCTGGGCTGATGGCTCAGAGCCTGGAGCCTGTTTCCGATTCTGTGTCTCCCTCTCTCTCTGCCCCTCCCCCGTTCATGCTCTGTCTCTCTGTGTCCCAAAAATAAATAAACGTTGAAAAAAAAAATTTTAAAAAGAATCCCAAGTATCAGGGGGCTCCAGCCTGAGAGTCTGAATCACTACTGTCATGAAGATAGCTAGCTAACCTGTCCCCAGGAATCACTCTTTCTTTTATTAATAGTATCACCTTTCTCGTACCCCAGTTTAAAAAAAAAATTTTTTTTTTTTAAGTTTTTTGAGAGAGAGAGAGAGAGAAGGGGAGGGGTAGAGAGAGAGAGAGAGGAAGAGAGAGAGAGAGAGAGAGAGAGAGAGAGAGAGAGAGAGAGAGAGAGAGAGAGAGAGAGAGAGAGAGAGAGAATCCCAAGCAGGCCCCACACTGTCAGTGCAGAGCCACATGTGGTGCTCGAACCCACGAACTGCGAGATTACGATCTGAGCCAAAACCAAGAGTCAGAAGCTTAAAGGACTGAGCCACCCAGGTGCCCCACCTCAGCTTTTAATAGAGAACAGGGCTGCCTGATTAAAAGATCTTATTTCCCAGGCTCTATTGAAGCTGGCTGTGGCTGCATGACTAAGTTTTGGTCAATCAGATGTGAGAAGTGACTCAAATTACTTAAAACAAAATGGCATGCTCTGGACTTCTTTCTCCCTTCAGTGATAAAGACAGAGCCAAGTGGCCAGCCTGGGTCTCTAAACAATCTTGTAAGCCCGCTCACTTACCTCTGAACTGATGAATCTGACAAAAACCAACTTCTCTCTTATTTCAGTACCGAATGAAAGGACGTGTAACCGACTGGGCGCCCCAGCCACAGGGTTTTGTAATCCCTCGGTTACAGCTGTTTAGTCTGCACCCTAACAAGTACAGCTGTCGACACGTTATTTCTTTTCCTGGTAAGCCCCACCAAGAACCTTCTACCCACAAAATGATTTCGTATTAGGACACCTAAAAAGTCCAATTCATGTAATTCAGTTAACATTTATTTTACATAAAACAATTTTCAAAGAATACATTTAAAAACCATCTAGATACTGATTTTATTGCATTACAAAAAATTGAGAGGCACAATTGAAGTATTCAAATAAACTGTGAGGGGCGGAGGTGGGGGCTTAAGCTCGCTATCCATGGTGCTCCTTAGTCACTTAAAGGCTCTGGGAACAAGAGCCTTTACCACAAGGCAGTAGTGCACTTCATTTAGTAGGAATAAATCACATAAAATATATAATTTTATACAGAAAGTGTTATTGTACTGTCACTTTCAATTACTTATAAAAACTTCATTTTGAATTGCACAAAAGTTCTTTAAAATTGGTAACTCCCAGAAGGCAGGGCTTAGAACAAAGTATCTGTGTAAATAATTCATTACAAATAATTACGTTTCCATTTCTCCAAAGGAAAAAAATCTATGAAGGATGACGTTATTCAAACGGGACATTTAAAATTATTTTTTCATAGGAAAATAGGTCTACAGATTTGTCTCTAAGTCAGCTAAACTTATTTTCTCCCTACTTTAAAACAAATCACAGATTGCCAAAGTTTTAAGTCAGAGTACCTATACCACAGCATAATGTGGAAGTGTTTCCATCAATTCATTTTTTGTATTATTCTACCATCGTATCAAATTATCAAAAAGGCACATGGGTACATTCTTCAGAACAGTTTTGGTCATTTAAGAAAAAAAAAAAACCCACACATTTGTAAGCAGTGATTTCAATCATGTTTAACAACAAAAATATTAAGCAGATTCATCTCAATTCAGGTGATACAGATTCCATGACACTTCTGTAGGCACTTCACTTTCCATAGAATTTCTTGTTCAGCAGGTAGATGAGAAGGTTTACATTCACTTTAACCTTATCAAACATTTTCATTACAGCTACGCCTTCATACTGCATCTGGAGTAAATCCTGAAAGTGAAAGGGACATCATTAAATCTCAAATTTAACCTTTTGCGTGCTTAAGAACATTCTTAAAAAAACATTCTAGAAGAATCTGTCGACAAAAATAGATTCAGTTGACCTAGTGACCTCTGTGGAGGTTCTTAAGTTTCAGTGTGCATCGGGATCATTTGGTTAAAAACACAAGCTAGTTAAAACACAGATTGTTGGGCCCCATGCACTGGAAGTTCTGACTTTGTAGCTCTGGGGTAAGGCCCAAGAATATGCATTTTAACAAGGTCCCATGTGATGATGGTATTGATGGTCTGAGTGCCATACTTTGAGAAGCACCTACCAAAATGAAAGAAAACAGATTTTTAGAATTGATGAGCACTGCATGCAAGAAAACCATCATCAAGTTAATATCAGATGTGTAATTGTAACTTTTAAAAATTATTTATTTTAGAGAGAGGGAGCATGCACGTGGAGGGGGAGAGAGAGAGAATCTGAAGCAGGCTCCATGCCCAGCGCAGAGCCCCATATGGGGCTTGATCTTAGGACCCTGAGATCATTACCTGAGCTGAAATCAAGAGTCAGATGCTTTACTGACTGAGTCACCCAGGCAGCCCCATAATTATAATTTTAATTGAAACATTCAAAATACAGATAATCCAGCAGGATGGGGCATGTCCTTTAGACAGTGGTGTTTCTTTTTACAGTGGTGTTTCTTTTTCTTTCTTTCTTTTTTTTTTTTGAGACAGAGGGCACAAGTGAGTGAGGGGGAGAGAGAGGGGAGGGGAAGGGAGAGGGGTGGGGGCAAAGAGAAGGGGAGAGAGAGAATTGGGGCTCATCCGAAGAGGGAGTTGAGCTCACCTGATATGGGGCTCAACCTCATGAACCTTAAGATCATGACCTGAGCCAACTGAGCCACCCAGGTGCCGCAAGAACAGTGTGTTTTCTAAAGTGAAGTGAGCAAGGCTATCCCTTGGGGAGCAAAAAGAATATGAGAACTCCCATTTAGTATTTTCTCTCATTCTTTAAACACTTAAATTTTATGTATATATTTTACAAAGTATATTTTGAGTCTAGTAGTAGGAACACGTATACTTTATTTAAAAACTTTTTTTTAATGTTTTTATTTATTTTCGGAGGAGAGAAAGACCGCATGAGGGCGGGAAGGGCAGAGAGAGGGGAGGACACAGAATCTAAAACAGGCTCCAGGCTCTGAGCTGTCAGCATGAACATGTATACTTTATAAATAAGTATGTAAAGTGGGGATAAATGCTCATGTTATTTACTGAAGTTGTGGACTACAATTTGGAGAGCAGTGTACAAAGCTAGTCTTTCCTGATCTAGACTACTTTGTGTTCCTGTACTGAGAACAAGCCCTTATTCTCACGTCGGTCTATCGTTCTATGTTTCACTGCCACCACATAATCAAAGGACATCAACTCTTGCTAGAATTAGTAACTGGGTCACACTAATCATATGCATGAGATTAAGGAGCAATGTCTCACAGTAACATAGAACAGGGGGGCTTCCCCAAATAGAAGATATCATTCTTGAACTGCCCTAGACTAATACCCGGACCTCGTTTTCTTGTTCCTAGCTCTGGAAACTTTTTTTTTTTTTAATGTTTTATTTATTTTGGTAGAGAAAGAGAGAGAGAGAGAGAGGCAGGCAGGGAGAGGGGGAGAGAATCCCAATCAGGCTCTGCACTATCAGCACAGAGCCTGATGTGGGGCTCAATCCCACATACCATGAGATCATGACCTGAGCTGATATCAAGAGTTGGATGCTCAACTGAATGAGCCACCTAGGTGCCCCAGGAAACTTCTTGGTTCTTAATGATAATGCCTTGTATCTCTATTAAGCAAGGCCACCTGCACAAGTTGGAATCATCTTTGAGAGAACTTTAGCTGTTGCCAGCATCCCCCTCCACCTCCTCACATTCCTCCAACTGTACTCAAAGTGAGAGACACCTGTAGGTGTCTGCAGGGGAAGCAGCTGGGCCCCTAAGGTGGGGAGCAATGATAATGATTGTACTTGTGGATGGAAGATCAGATTTGAGACTTAGCCCCGCCATTTGCTATCTTATGACCCTGCGACATCACACCACCTCTCTGAAGTTGTTTTGTTTGTGTAAATTGGGACAACACTGCTAATTTCACAAGGGTGCTATTGGACATAGGAGATCAAAGTCCACAAGCCATTTGTAGGGGCCCATGCTTTGTCAAGATCAACTGTAATCCTGTGCGAGGGGCAATGGAGCAGACTGATGAACAACTTGGACTCCAGCTGCCTCTTGTGTAATGAATTCCCTGAACCTCAGCTCTTCATCTGGGAAGGGAACGGCGTCAACCCCGTAGCCCTTGATAAACACTGAACATTATTTGTGGAAGCAGAGCATCTTAAGTCGCACCCACCTGTTAGGTATACTGCTGACAGCTGCAGGATACAATTATGACATAATATTTAGGAAGTGAGGAAGGAGGGGAGAAGAAGACCCAGAAACATAATGTTAGAAGGGATCTCCCTTAGTTCTCTTAGAAATTTCTGTCCTTTTGCCAGTTCTTGTCTCACACTAAAGACCTGGCCATCAGGTAATTCACCTGTTAATGTAATTGTCTGAAAGCCATAAATATAAACAGAAGTCTGACTTTATTAGCTGTTAGATGCTGGGCTGGCTACTGGGGCATTCAACCCGTACAGAGTGTAATGCTCTGCTCTCACCATCTTGAGACGCTCAATAATTCTGAATAAGGGGCTGTACCTTTTCATTCTGTACCAAGCCCCACAAATTATGTAGTTAGCCCTGGTGACATGTTCATGACTTTAAAAATCTGGGGTGTATGAGTTATCTGTATGCAGCGAAGGAGTAACATTTCACAATTCTGTGTACAGATGAATGGCATGAAGAGTTAATCCTACCGCATACTGAAACCTTAACAAAGGAGCAAATGAAGCTTGGTATTTGCACCAGTGTTCAAAGGAAGTGCCCTGGAATTCCTGAGGCCTCCCTGAACAGGTGTGTCCCTGTCACTTGGGATTCATCTGTCCAGTTGATGCTGATTGGTCTTGGGTCATTTCCTTCTTGACAAATACATGATACGTTTTTGCTACTTCTAAAGAAGAATGACTAACGAAGGCACATCCCTAGCAGCACTCTCTTTATTCTTCCCGTATTTATCTAAATGGTACATAAAGTAACTCAAGCTTTTCAGTTAAATTGTTAGATGGCTACATTTACTGGCGTTTAAAAATAAGGTAGAAAATAACGCTGTTTTACTTATGTATACTTTTCACAATTACTCATTATCTTTCGTTTTCTCTCTGGACTCTAACTCACTCCATTATCTCAATGGCCCTTATCATACTCCTTTAGTTTTTTGTTTTTTGTTTTTTTTGTAAGTTACAAGCAATGCTAGAGGGGAAAGAAGGGCAATGGCATCTGCTCCTAGGAGGGGGAAATGATTTCAGGGTTCTCAGCCAGGGGCTCAGCAGGCAGGGAGGCTAGAACTTCTCCCTTGCAGTGGCTCATCAAGATGGTTTGTGTAGATACACACAGAATACCTGGGAAACATTTTACTAGTAGTTTGGGACCCACATAAATAGGTGTTATTTCCACTGAAAATCTCTCATGTGAAAAAGAAAAACTCAATGACATCTTTTAATTGATCCTATGCTGAGGATCAATTTGGCAGAAGATGATCTTAAGCCTTGGATTGTGTTCTCCTTTCACTTTTTTTTGGTCATTGTTGTTTTTGCTCCTTTTGTTTTTGGACATAGAAACTGGATGTCTCAGCTTCTGTTCAAGTCTATTTGGCTTAAATATGGTCCTCATGAGAAAACAGCAATAATTCCGACTGTAGACGCCATTTTTCTACTTGTAGATAACTATTTTGCATGTCTTATGTGCCTAAGCATTTAACAGATTTCATAAACTAATGTAGAAATGATTCTAAGCAGGAGAAAGAAGCAGAATGAGGTCAGTAAAATTCCAATCCTGGGGATATATAGTCTTACAAAGAAATCCAAGTTCCTAATGAAAGAAAACTTTTGGGGCATCTGGGTGGCTTAGTTCAGTTAAGCATCTGACTTTGGCTCAGGTCATGATCTTCTAGTTCATGAGTTCGAGCCCCACATTGGGCTCTCTGCTGTCAGTTCAGACAGAGCCCACTTCGGTTCCTCTGTCCCCCTCTCTCTGTCCCTCCCCTGCTCACAAACCGCCCCCTCTCAAAAAATAAAATGAAATAAATAAAAAATAAAGAAAAACATTAAAAAACTAAAAATAAAATAAGAAAACTTTCTCGCCTTAATAGCTTTGAATACTTTTATGCTATTTTTTTCCCTCTAAGCATCAAAATGGAAACATGACTTAGAAAAGCTGACTGCTATGGTTTGCCATCTAAAAGCGTTTTAAGTTCTAATACTTTGAAAGATCAGAGCTTTCCAAAAATCATCAAAGCTTAAAAGGCCAATATTGGCAAATAAGGCTTGCAGTGGTCATCTGTTACGCCCCCGTGTTGTCATGAAGAGGGCAAGTCAGGGGAAGCACACCGCACATTATAAAACTCACCCCCACTTTGCAGAAATCCCAGCTTACCTGAATATTGAGCTGTACCTTCTCCATCTCAACGCCAAGGAATTTTGATCTGACATCAAAGATGCCCACATCTTCAGTAGATATGATATCAAATGTAACATTTTTAAACCTAGTGAAGAAAGGGACATTCACATGAGGAATTGCAATTCTATGTGTAAAGCTGAAACTAGTTAACGGAATCCTACATTACCATGCTTAGTGAAAGGTCTGCCCGAAAGTCCTAAGGAAGCCTCCCCAACCTCCCATCATTCCCCTTCCCCACTCTGCTCATTAAAACTAGGTTTGATAACTCTTGTTGAGATTGTTGCCTAGAGCACCCAAGTAGATGCTTTATTACTGAAGAAATGCTATTAAATAGGGTCCTTGTTCTTAAAGAGCTTAAAATACAGTTGGAAAAATGGGGTTCGCAGATCCTGAGAATTAAATAGTGACTTAGACTGCTGAGACGCCAGTTGAATGTTTTAGATGGTTACTTTTATAGAAACTACAAAGACGAAGAAGCATTTTCTCTGAGTCAGTATGGTTGAGAGAAAAGGTTTGCTGCGATAAACGGAACAGAAGCCAGGCCTGGAGAGAGGGCAGGAGTTAGAGAGGAGCGCACATGGTGAATGTGGCTCCCTGCAACAGTGAAGGGCCACAAGGCTCACAGTTCCTTTAAAAGAGAGAAGCCTCTGGCACCCAGTGCGGGCTGCGGAGGAGGGTTTCCATTTTCTCCTCTACATCAAACACGCACACCAGCAGCACACTGCGAGAGTGGCTCTGACCCGGGTGTTGGCACACATAGTCTGTGGCTCTGAAGTGAGAAAGATACTATTGTAAATAACTCTATCAAGACAAAAAGACAGCTTTTCATTCTCAACGCTATGACTCAGTTTTTCCCGAGAGAAGGGGGAGGCTGGCAAACCCAAATGTACTGGACCAGCCATGGGAAACACGACCTGCTCAGCACTTCATACAACCCCCGGCACTGATGCTCGGGGTCTGATGGGCAGACTAGAGATTACAATACACGTACGTCCCCGCCCTGTCATCTGTAATCAAGGGTAAGCCTTGATAGACCAAATGAAGCTCTCTTCAAAGGCCACAGGAAACCAAAAAGAAGTGAGTCAGATTTTACGGGAGTGATTAGAGGGCATGTGTAATTCTGTGCAGATTCCAGGCCACACTCACTGGTTTGTCTGAAGGTCGTCTATCCCCAGCAGGACCCCCTTCTCATGCAGCTTTGCAGCCGTGTACCTCACTGGCTTGGCTCTCTTCGCCCCTTTCGGTTCTCCTTTTCCATCTAGCTTAATTGACCTTCGAGAATTTCTGAAACAATAAGAATAAACCACCTGTTGTCATGACGGCAAACTCAGAGGTTGCGGTGGTGCCCACCACTGTTCACGCTTGGCCCCCACCACCCTGAGTATGAAACTTTATTTTGTGAAAGTAGGTGGTGATTCTCCCTCGCCATAAAACCTCGCTGCTGAAATGTAAGAGAAGGCTATTTACAAAGCGACCGACAGACTAGTACTTACTCTGTTTCCTCAGGCATATTGAACTAAGTGGCGATAGTAAGTCATGTCACAAGCAGCTTTGGTTCCGTAATATGAACTGCATACTCCTAAGTAAAGGTATTACTAGGACTGTTTTAGTTGATTGAATAAATACTGTGTGGCCAGCCATGCTCTAAGCGCTTTTTGAATACTGCCTCACCTTTGTAAAATCAACATTTCCACAGTGCTTGGAAATGAATTAATTCCTTTCTTATGATTTCATTTAGCTCTCATAGTAACACTTGTGAGGCTGGTACTCCTCTTGCCACCTTAAAGATGAGAAAACTTAAGTTCCAGAGTTCACTGGGCTCGGTCATAGATCACACAACGAAAGAAAGAATTAGAACGCAAATCTAGCTAGCGTAATTAGCGGCAAAGGTTGTAAAATGCTTTCAAGTGGTTGCAAGTAAAAAAAAACAAACAAAAAAACCCCAGCCCTCTAACAACCTTATTTCTACTGGGTATTATTAGCTGGATCAACTTCTTTCTCCAGGAATACAGTAATTTACAGGCTTCAAGGCAATGAATTAAAATTCAGAACTAGTGGGGCCCAAATAAGGGAGGTTTAAATTTGGTTATTTCCCTTCATCAACTCTTCTGTGATTAATGCAATTGATTATTCCATACAGCACCATTTCTTACTGCATGAAAACATTATGCTACACATTTAAATGGGAATTAAAATTTGATTAGTATCAGCCTTAGTCTAGTAAGTAGGAAGGACAACAATGAGCAAAGAATACTCATTAAAAGTGGCCCTGCTGTGTATAAAAAAATCTGTAATATGTATGCTAATGGGTAATGGGGAACTGCCAAATTTTGTCTTTCATGTCAATAATAATTAAAAAAAAATTTTAAACGTTTGTTTTTGAGAAAGCGAGACAAACAGACTCTGAGCAGGGGAGAGGTGTGTCTAGAAGGAGACATGGAATCCGAAGCAGGTTCCAGGCTCTGAGCTGTCAGCACAGAGCCCAACGTGGGGCTCAAATCCACGAACCGTGACATTATGACCTGAGCCGAAGTTATATGCTTAACTGACAGAGCCATCCAGGTTCCCCATCAATGATAATGTTTTAAAAGCACTAAGTAATTTAAAATCATTAGGCCATATTCTGCTAGTAGCAAATACCTGGGGTTACCTAACATTGTTTATTGTAAATATTCAAAAAGTAAGAGTAGCTTCAATTTTTTTTTTTTTTTTTAATCATAGTGTTTGGCCTCTTTGAGTAAAAGAGACCAAAGGGAAAATGAGAGTGCTTCCCCAAGCATTAAAGCTACTTCCTTAGGGGGCGTCTGGGTGGCTCAGTCAGTTAAGCATCCAACTTCGGCTCAGGTCATGATCTCATAGTTCGTGAGTTCAAGCCCCGTGTCGGGCTCTGTGCTGACAGCTCTGAGCCTAGAGCCTGCTTCACATTCTGTGTCTCTCTCTGCCCCTTCCCTGCTCATGCTGTGTCTCTCTCTGTCTCAAAAGTAAATAAACATTTAAAAAAAAAATAAATAAAGCTACTTGCTTAGAATACAACAGGTCGAGCTACATGAATTTCAATACTGATGGGCAATTAAAAAGTATCTAAATGCACTCCTGACTTCTTAGATCCCAGTAGCAAATCACAAAATCCAGATTCTAGTTTTTTGGTTATAAAAGAAAGCAAAGGGTTTGCTTCCAAACCCCATCATCCAAGTGGGTAAAATAATTGACACCCATATAAATCATGACATTACAAATGGATATATGATTTTTAACTTACCGTCTTTTTAAGTTGTCCAAGCAAGTCTTTATGTAGGTGTCATAATAATTAATTTGCTCTTCATAAAATGCCGCCTTCTCATTAAGTGCATTCAGGGTCTGCTGAAGTTTTGCCAATTCAGCTTTTCGAAGCTTACGATGTATTCTTTGATTTCGAATGTCCTAAAAAACAAGTAAAGGCTATGATATGACATTTAAGAAGTTTAATTTATGACACTGCCAATTTGGGACAAGAAGAATGTGGACTATGAAGTCACTGTTTGTGACTGTTAACCTGTAACTTCCCTTAGTCACCTTAATCTTTATATATATATTTATATTTATATATATTTATATAAATATATATATATTTATATATATTTATATAATTTATAATTTTATAATATATATTTTATAATATATTCTTATAATTTATACGTATAAATATATATTTACATAAATATATATATATAGTTGTGTGTATGTGTGTATACATATATGTTTAAGTTTAACTTAAGCAATGTCTGCACCCAACCTGGGGCTTGAACTCACGACCCCAAGATCAAGAGCTCCATACTCTACCAACTGAACCAGCCAGGTACCCCATAATCTCTGCAAACTAAGGTGCTGCCCCCTTCCTTGCTTACTTCAGACTGGCAAAGGTCACTAATTCATGTTAACAGAGATGCTAAAATTTATTTTTGTTTTGATGGAAAAGAAGAGAAGCATTTTTAGAATGACCATAAAATGAAATAGTGTTCTAAAAGGGGCATAAGGAAGACTTCAGTAGGAGATAGCAATTTCTTCAAAATGTTTTCAACATTCCACTTTGAAGAATACTTTACCTGAAAAGGTTTACATGCAATTACTGCATTCATTTTAGAAATAAAAACAAAACAAAACAAAACAAAAAAACAATGCACTTTTTAATCTGGGAAATAGTTCTTTTTTTTTCTTTTCTTTTTTTTAATCTGGGAACTATTTCTGACGGCTTGCAAAAACAACTGAGCTCTCAAGGCTGACTGGAAAGATTTAACTTTGGTGACTACTGCTTGGATTTAAATACAGTTCCTAGAACATCACGTCGTTTAAGTTACTCACAAATTACAAGGGCTATGCTATGTTTAAACTTATAGACATAAGATTTATTTGTAATTCTAAATGGTAAATCATGAAAATCATAAAAATGATGTTTGTTTAATATTATTTTCCCTATGTGGACAAATTAAAAAACATTCCCCTAGGAATCCAGACAGACATACACATGTATGTGTAAAAACTGTCCATTAAACAGGATCTTTTGGAGGATACCTTCATGACAGCTTTTTTTAAAAGGCAAAAACATTAATTTTTCTACTACATATTCGCAAAGACAGATATTTTCCACCCCAGGGCTATAGAAAGAAATGTGACTTCCCTTGAGTCACAGTCACTTAGGCTAGGAGGAATAAGCCTATTGCCAAAAGTGACCATGACTTTCCACGGAAAAAAGAAATGGAGGTGATTTTCCACCAAGAAATTAAGACAATTTACTTTTTTTTTTCTGATCACTTAACTGCTGTGAACCTCCAGACCCATTTTTAATTTGCATGTTTGGATGCAAAGAATGAAATGTTCTTTGACCCAAATATGTATTTCCTTATCCTTGGCAAACAGATCTCAGCCATTTCCTGTGATGTTTCCTCACACTAATTTGAGATCCTTTTCTCAGGAAGTTTCCCAACTGTTAAAATACGGGATGAAAAAACAGAAAGCAACATCTAAGTCTCAACTGCATTTAGGGTCAATTGTTCAGAGGCAAATTCTCAGGGACAAAGAGTTATCATCTCAATGCCAGGTCCTAAGAGCAATTGGGCTATATGACAACTCAAGAGAGAACTCTCATAGAAGTGTCATTTAAAAAAATTTTTTTTAAATGTTTTGTTTATTTTCGAGACAGAGAGAGACAGAGCATAAACCAGGAAGGGGCAGAGAGAGAGGGAGACACAGAATCCAAAGCAGGCTCCAGGCTCTGAGCTGTCAGCACAGAGCCCGATGCGGGGCTCGAACTCACGAACCGTGCGATCATAACCTGAGCCAAAGTCGGACACTTAACCAACTGAGCCATCCAGGCGCCCCAGAAGTGTCATTTTTAAAACTAGTAGGTATTGGGAAAAACAAAACCAAAAAACCAGTAGGTATTGGAGTGCCTGACTGGCTCAGTCAGTGGGGCATGTGACCCTTGACCTTGGTGTTGTAGGTTTGAGTCCCATGTTAAGTATAGAGATTACTAAAAAAATCTTTAAAAAACCCCACAAAACTAGTAGGTATTGTTTTAAAAGTATAGATGAAACTTGTCTATTCCATTTCCTGAACATTTATTTCTAGTGTGTCAAATGTCCTAATGACTTGGAAAAGTTGTGACTTTTCTCTATTAAAAGTCATCAATGGGGGGGCACCTGGGTGGCTTAGTTGGTTAAGTGTCCGACTTTGGCTCAGGTCACGATCTCATGGTTTGTGAGTTCGAACCCCACATCAGACTCTGCTTTCAGCACAGAGCCTGCTTCAGACCCTCTGTCAACCTCTCTCTCTGCCCCTTCCCCACTTGTTCTCTCAAAATAAATAAACTTTGAAAAAAAATGTCATCAATGGGTGTGGAACCCTTAAAAATCTGTAATATTGGGGCCTGTGGGTGGCTCAGTTGATTAAGTGTCTGGCTCCTGATTTCAGCTCAGGTCATGATCTCATGGTCGTGGGATTAAGCCCTACATGTGGCTCTGTGCTGAGTGTGGAGCCTACTTGGGATTCTCTCTCTCCCTGTCTCTGCCTCTCCCCCAGTTGCATGCTCTCTCTCTCTCTCAAAATAAATAAATAAATGTTAAAAAAAATAAAGCAAATGATCCTTTAAAAAAGTCAAATAAAAATCTGTAATATTGACCATGGCATTACAACTATGAATTACAACTATGTCACCTCATAGACTGCCCAGCATATGACCAACGATTAGCCAGTGTTGGTCTGCTAAGTGTAGAAGGAAAAATACTATTTTCAAAAACCTTGGCAATCTCATTGAGAATGTCTTGGTACTTATTTTTGGATGACACATGTCTGGTTTGTTCCAAAGTCCGAAGATTTCTCTGGATTTTCCTCTTCTTCTGCTGCAGGGGTAGCTGTGCATCTTCAATCATAGACTGGCTATGCTTCATTTCTTCTGGGGCCTGGGAATCTATAATCGCACGGCTCTCCATGTCTCTGGCATGATCTGCTTCCTGAAAAGGGAATATCAAGATGTTGACTTTTCTCTGATTCCCCCATCTCACAAACTCATAAGCTGTGTAAGGCAAGTTAATGTCAAAATAAAAGAAGTCCTCAGGTCAGAGTTCAATGGCCAGAATCAGCATGTGCTCATGGATTTTGAAGTAGGTCTTTGGAAGAGATTATTTCATCTTTTTGAGCAATATAGCAGTGGTGGCAGGCCTATTGTGAGCAAAATTCTCAATGGCTCCTTTAGTGCAAACATGACAGATCACCTTAGTAACAAACATACTCCAGTGGGGAACTGATGTCTTATAATTCCCTGAATGGAAGGATTTCCATCTGCTAGAGACTTCAGTTGAGGAAACTAAGACTGCATTATTCATGAAAACACAGCTAACACCCTGAACATCCAGAACCTGACTGAACTCTCACACCTCAGCCATATTTATGGAGATCTGTAAGCCAGGAAGGCAGAGACCTTTGTTCTAATGAGGGAATAATTCTCAAACTACCAACTCTGAAAAACCTGCAGGGTTTTCTGGAACCAGAATGGAATAAGAATATTCGAGCTCATACTAATTTCCCAAATAAATGAAGAGTAAATGAATGAATAGAATTTGGACAGGTTGTTAAAAAAAAAAAAAGTTTTCTAAGGAGACTGGTGATCTTCCCATTTCATTAGATGATTGACACAATAAATGAAGTCTAAGGATACAAGTATTATCAGATGACAGATCAGTATCACCTACACAGGAATAGTTAACCAGGCCAGCAGTAAATAACAATAGCAACTGTAGCACCTAATATGTTGCTGAACATCTAATATGAGCCAGGTATTCTACCCACTTAACATGTTTTAACTCATTTTTTACTGCTGTGAATTAAGTACTATTATTACTCTCATTTTATAGCTGAGAAAACTGAGGCTCAGAAAAACTTCTAAGTGCCCAGAATTACATAGCTAGGAGATGCAGCATTCTTAGTGACATTTGGGGAAAAATTAAATATTCAAAGGGACTAAAATTCTCTTACTAAATTAAAATATTCCACTCACAATATTCCACTCACATTGTTTAAAAATATTCATACATTAACCAACATCAGATCACTTGTAGTTTTATTTTATATATTTTTAAAATTAAAAATTGACAGTCATTTCTTAGAGGCAACCACTTTAATTAAAAATGATGCAGGGGGCACCTGGGTGCCTCCTTAAGCATCCGACTCTTGATCTTGGCTCAGGTCAAGATCTCATCGTTCGTGAGTTCAAACCCCGCACTGGGCTCACTGCTGTCAGTGCAGAGCCTGCTTTGGATCCTCTGTGCCCTGCTCTCTCTGCCCCTCCCCCATGTGAGTGGGCTTTCTCTCTCTCTCTCTGTCTCTCTCTCTCTCAAATAAACAAACATTAAAAAAAAGTAAACTCTTTAAAAAAAAAAGAATGACTCAGGAAAATTATGGGTAGCTCTGCCAGGAAGTACCTAATTAGATAATTTTGTTAACTTTTTCCAGGGAGTGACAATTATTGACAACTAAAGCAGTAACAGTGAATTAATTTCATTAAAAATGAGTGAAATAGGGCACCTGGATGGCTCAGTCGGTTAAGCGGCCGACTTCGGCTCAGGTCATGATCTCATGGTCAGTGAGTTTGAGCCCCTCGTCGGGCTCTGTGCTGACAGCTCAGAGCCTGGAGCCTGTTTCAGATTCTGTGTCTCCCTCTCTCTGACCCTCCCCGTTTATGCTCTGTCTCTGTCTCAAAAATAAATAAACGTTAAAAAAAAAATTAAAAAAAAATGAGTGAAATAAACAATGATGTATTTTCTTTTTTTTTTTTTTAATTTTTTTTTTCAACGTTTATTTTTATTTTTGGGACAGAGAGAGACAGAGCATGAACGGGCGAGGGGCAGAGAGAGAGGGAGACACAGAATCGGAAAGAGGCTCCAGGCTCTGAGCCATCAGCCCAGAGCCCGACGCGGGGCTCAAACACACGGACCGCGAGATCGTGACCTGGCTGAAGTCGGACGCTTAACCGACTGCGCCAGCCAGGCGCCCCAACAATGATGTATTTTCACAGATGTTGATAAAGATTTTAACGCAAGATTGTTATGAATCTTTAGTTGCTTACACCAGGGTAATAGTGCTCTGACCTGACGGACTGAACACATTTGCTCCTGAAGCATTTAGAAAACAGTTTTCACGTGTGAGACACTGGTTTGTTTCAAGTTAGCCAACGTGTAAAACATGAGAGGTATTTTCCTATATCCTATTGACCAGAACTATCTCTTAACAACTTACCTGCCCACCCACTGAGTGATGAAGTTTACGATGAGCATTCAGAAGCTTTGAGCCAGAACTACCTTCACAGTCTAGGACAAAATTACATCCGGCATAAATTTGGTGCTGCATTTTCTATTTCATTCCCTTGGATAGGGATTTCATATATATGACTCAACTCAGCTGGCTAGAGTAAGAGATAAAATTCCTTACTTTCAAACCATGTCATGTATAGTGTTTTCATGACAACAGTAAACTCTGGACATGAAGATCAGTCAAGTCAACTTCCACACATGGTACTTATTATTTTACATTCAAAGACCAATTACTTAACCTCTTTTGTAGTTGCTGGTGTCTCCAAGATTTCTGTCAATGTGTTCCCTGGTTGGTTCCGGATGACATCAATGATCAGCTTTTTGGTCCTTACAAAATTGAGAAGAGACAGACTTTCAGACAGCAGTCCTGATGCACAACCATCTGTTTTTCCCGAGGGAGTGCACAAACACATACAAAGATAATCCCTGAAAATAAAAGTCTTTTGGAAATTCACATCTGCTCTGAGGCTCCTGTAAGTTCGCTAATGCTTGATAACTGAAGTCTGGGTTTTACACACTGGATGTCGTGGGATTTTGGTGTCAGTAACACGGGGACAGGTATGTCATAGGATTCCTTATCTAAACACGTTTCCTTCTTTGTAGGCTGCGACTATTATTGATGAGTGGGATGGACAAGTGGTGCCGATGTGTCCTGTTAACACAGAGGATGCAGGAATGATATCTAGTACCCTTGCCTCTTTCCTGACTTTAATAATGCTTAAGCTTCTGAGCCTGTTTAATACATTCTAAGCCTTTAGGAGCCAGTCCAAATGTTACCTTTCCTGTTCTGAGAAAGTTATGAAACGGTGTAAAGGCCCGTGGGAGTGAGCGGTCCCAGATGGGCTGTGGGGGCTTTGGCTGCCGGCTGACAGAGCCGCTGGGAGGACAGTGTTCAAGAGCCTCAGGTCCCTTGGAAAAGCTAACTACTAGGCTTGCGTCCTTGTCTTCCTGGGGCAGCTAAGAGAAGAGCTGCTCAATGAAACATCAATAGCAAGGAAACTCAGCTGGAGGCGCTAAAAGCACACTTTTTCCCATGTGTCCCTTGATGTGGTCAGCCACCCCTTCCGAAAAGATCAGGTTATGTAATGATGTGAAAAAATTTCAACATAAAAGGCAAGAGGGTCAAGTCTGTGTACTTTTACATGAGTGGCAAAAATAGTGGAGATAGCTTCCTTTCCAAAAAATGGAAACATAAACAGAAGCTGCCTAAAATTATCAACAGGTCTAACTGATGACGGAAGTCTCACTTTTTTTGCTGCTCTATGGTATTTAACCTCACTAGTTCCAAAGGCACTGTGTGACATCACTAGATGATATATTTCCCCTTCGTCTACAGCAGGAAATGTTCACAAGGCATGAAAATTAGAAAATGAAAACAAAACATCGTTCTTGTCGTGAAACATCAGGGCAAATGACAGGGAAAATCCTCAAGGTTAATTCCAAATATATTATTTTTGAAAATAGGATAAAATCCAATAAACCATCTGTAAACACTTTTGTCATTTACTTATTTCAAGTCTATATGAGAACAATTATAGCCATTTCCTCTGGCCCATGACCCTTCACTTCTGGGGATTTACAGGCTGTCTGGGAACGTACAAATACTCCTCCGAGAGTCAAAGGTGGACACACAGCTGATTACAGCCATGTGGGCGAAGGCACTGTTTCTAAGGCGGCTGTAGCTTAGAGAGCCAAGTCTGGTTTTCTCCTCACACTACTCCTTCTACCGATCATCATGAATGTATTAAACAGGAACATCAAGTTAAAAATGAAAACATTGGATGATTTTAAAAATATAGACACAGTGATGGTTTCATATTTGAAATAACATTCTGGGAACTACTTATGGTACATGTTTCCAGGAAACTCCCAGCTCATCTCTTTAGAGAGGGTATCTGATGACCAAAATGACTAGGGTCACTAAAGCATGCTGTGCAAGGGACAAAGAATGTTTGTTAAGGAGTTGCTCAAGGACAAACTGCCTATACTGCATTTTTGTCTTGGAATTCTACTTTACGTCAAGCCTGTGGAATCCCCTGCCAAAGTTCTATCCTAGGCATCTCGCATGTAAGGAACCGTCCTGTTTCAGGATAGGGAACTATCTCCCCCTACAGTATGCCTAATGGTTATGGGTACTGGGGTCAGACAGATGTAAGGTCCAAATGGGGCTCCTGCTGCTTACTAGCTGTGTGGACTTATACAAACTATATAACCTCAATGACTCTGTTTTTTTCATTTATATAATGGGATTCTCTCAGAGGACTTATGGGAGGACTGAAGGGAAAGTGGCATGTAAAGCCTCTCAGTAGGATCTGACATGTAGTAAGCACTCACATGGTCATTAAAGCTGAGCTGCCCAAGATGGCAGCCATTGGCCACAGGTGGCCATGGACCACTTGAAACATGCCTGGTCCAAATTGAGATGTATTAGAGGTGTAAAACACACACTGGATTTTGAATGCTTAGGATGAAAAAACTAACAGTTTTTTACACTAATTACATATTGAAATACTGACATTTTTGATACATTGGCTTAACTAAAATATATTGGAATTATTATTAATATTTATGTAAGCTCTATGCCCAGTGTGGGGCTTGAATTGATGGCCCTGAGGTCAAGAGTTGCATGCTCTACCAACTAAGCCAGTCAGGCACCCCTAAATGAAATAAATTGGAATTAATTTAACTTAAAAAAATGTTCATTTATTTTTGAGAGAGACAGCATGAGTGGGGGAGGTGCAGAGAGAGGGCAGGGCAGAGGAACTGAAGTGGGTTCTGTGCTGACAGCAGAGAGTCTGATGGGGGGCTCCAACTCAGGAACCATGAGATCATGGCCTGAGCTAGAGTTAGATGCTCAACCTACTGAGCCACCCAGGCACTTAATTTCACTTTTTTTTTCAAACGTTTATTTATTTGAGAGAGACAATGTGCACGTGTGGACACAGGAGAGGGCAGAGAGGGAGGGGGAGAGAGAATCTCAAGCAGGTTCCATGCTGTCGGCACGGTGCCTGACATGGGGCTCAGTCTCACAAATTGTGAGATCATGACCTGAGCCAAAATCAAGAGTCAGAGGCTTAACTGACTGAGCCACCCAGGTGCCCCTTCACCTGTTTCTTTTTCTTTTTTATCTTAATTTTTATTTATTTTAATGTTTACTTTTGAGAGGAGACAGAGCATGAGCTGGGGCGGTGGGGGGAGGGGGGTGGAGGCAGAGAGAGAGGGAGACACAGAATCCAAAGCAGGCTCCAGGCTCTGAGCTGTCAGCATAGAGCCTGATGCTGGGCTGGCACTCAGGAACCATGAGATCATGGCCTACGGCAAAGTTGGAAGCTTAACCGATTGAGCCACCCAGGTGCCCCTTTCACCTGTTTCTTTTTAAAATGTGGTTTCTGGGTTTCTCTGCTGATGGCCCAGAGCCTACTTGGGATTCTCTCTTTCCTTCTATCTCTCTGCCCCTCCCTGCTCATGTGCGCGTGCATGCTTTCTCTCTCAAAATAAATAAACAAACATTAAAAAAGTTAAAATGTGGTTTCTAGAAATCTTAAAATTACTTGTGTGGCTCACGTTGAATGTAGTTTGGCAAGTGCAAGATTGGAAAATTCCATTCTTATGCAGGAACCTCACTGTGAGAGACCTGCCTTCCACTGAAGTCCACTCACTGGACCTGGTTAGTCATAGGACTTCTGCACTGAGGGGAACCTTCGGGAAATAGTCCAATCCCTGATTATCCAAATGAAGCAACTAAGATATAAGAGGCTCAGTGGTTACACAAAGGTCACTCTGTTTTCTAGGGTTGCAAAACACAAGTTGAATGCTCTTTCCATATCATCAGCCCCCACAAACCTGTACAGAGGTGCCTCGAATGTGTCCCCAACCCCTCTTCCACTACCTTTCTTTTTGTAAGTGAAACCTCCAGTTCCTTAAACCTCTTCGTGAGAGGGTTTAAACAGAATTCATACTTTTGCTCACATTTGTTTGCCAATGGTCTTAAGATGTGTCCCCTCCTCACCCCAGTGCAAACGCAAAATTCTAGATAGGATTTAACTACCATAAACCAACTGGTTAGAGTATTGGCTCTGTGGCTGTTCAAACAATATGTAAGATATGCTGATCAAACCAAGGACTCTACCACCCTCCCTGTTTGAGGAAGTATCTAATTCTGAGGAAGAATAATAATAAAAAAAAAAAGCAAGAAAGAAATACACCAAGGATGGGGCACCTGGGTGGCTCAGTTGGTTAAGCACCTGTCTCTTGGTTTCAGTTCAGGTCACGATCACATGGTTTGTGAGATGGAGCCCTGCATCGTGGTCTGCACTGACAGCATGGAATCTGCTGGGGATTCTCTCTCTCTGCCTCTCCCCTGCTTGTGCTCTCCCTCCAAAATAAGTCAATAAACTTAAAAAGAGAGAGAAATACACCAGGAAGTTTGTTCATCATAGCTGTGTTCAAATCCTACTGTTGGTGAATGAGACCACGTGGTGCTTGTAAACTGGCGTGGCCCCTCAGATTTGACCATTCCAGTCACGTGGCATCTTTTCTATGCTCTGAACCAGTAGCATCCCTGAGCCTCCCCCTCTGCCTGACACTTTGTCCAAGTTTGAAAAGGAGTTCATGTTTGTGGAATCTAAGGAATACTTCCAGTTGTTTAAAATTCTTCTAATACGATTATACATTTTTATCACCAGACATCAAATACCATCTTAGCCATTTAGTGCCCCTGCTAGTTTTGGACCAAAAGCAAAGAAATCTTTCAGGTGGGATGATAGATGCTCCACTGAATCATGTGGTAAGAAAACGAATTCTTGAGAGATGACAACTGAAAGCTCTCAGGCAGCAAAGTATGATTGCAACCCACAAATGTTGCCTTCTACTTAAACACGCATACTTTTGTAGAAAAACAACCTTAATAAAGGCCATAAGGATCATGTTTTTTTTTAAGTAAGCTCTATGTTCAACGTGGGGCTTGAACTCACCACCCTGAGATCAAGAGTCACATGCTTTACCGACTGAGCCAGCCAGGTGTCCCAAAGATCACACATTTAAAAAAAAAAAATTAAAAAAAAATTTTTTTTTTTAATGTTTATTTATTTTTGAGACAGAGAGAGACAGAGCATGAACAGGGGAGGGGCAGAGAGAGAGGGAGACACAGAATCTGAAACAGGCTCCAGGCTCTGAGCTGTCAGCACAGAGCCCGACGTGGGGCTCGAACTCACGGACGTGAGATCATGACCTGAGCCGAAGTCGGACGCCCAACCGACCGAGCCACCCAGGCGCCCCCCCAAAAAAATTTTTTTTAATGTTGATTTTTGAGAGGCAGAGTGCGAGCA